TGACACATCATCATCATCGTTTCCTGTTTCTTTCCAAGGTGACGTCAAATAATTGACTTCTTTCAAAGATTTCTTGCGTTTCATTCTACAGTATTGCACACAGAAGATTACAAGAGCAATGCTAATCACTCCGGCTGTTGTTCCAACTGCAGTACCCACTATTTGTAGTGCTGTAAATGCTAGAGACAAGAAGAAAAATAATCATCCAATTGAATGAATGTAATTTTCGAGGTTTCCAGTATTATTGTATCCATTGATATAGCTGGCTGGGTTTGAACAGTTGTTTTATATCGACGAATCAATGCATTGGGTTTATACCCCACATATTCACATTCTAAAAACATCAATTTATATTACATTAGAATCCAAATCTGACATAAAATCCTAAATCAGTAATATACTTTTTGAGATATCATTTTTTTAGTTCTAATTTGTTGCTATTTTAACTACCCAAATTTGTCCTTTCCGAAACAAGAGCCATAAAAACAATTTCTCTACAATGTCCTGTCTGGGTGACACCTAGCTGAATCTAAAGCTGGTGTAAGAGTTCTTCCCACCACATCATCTTGAATGTTGTTGCTCATATATAGAAGCCACTGTGGAGGCAATCTCCATATTCCAGATGTTACATGTGGAACATCTCTCACTGAAGACCTTGTGACACAAGATAATAGTTTCTATAGTTACTAACCTGCGTCATCTGGTACATCATCTGGTATTTTTGTTTCACAGAATTCTCCTGTATACTGTTCACCACAACTAGAATGAAAAACATATAAATATATGTGAATGTTGAACATTAAATGACATTTCTTATTAAAAGATTCATTATTTGATTTCTGATACTTACATACAGGTAAAGTTATTCACAGTTCCAATACACATGCCTTTGTGACACAAACTGTCGCCACATTGTTCTGTAGAATCATGGGAAACAAACAGATGGTGTAAGATGTCAGAATTAAGTAACAAACACATAACACTCAAATGATGACTCACAAAAAAAGATAAGTGGCGTGGATCTTTTAAAAACTCTGGGAAGAGTAAAGACAGAAAAAACAATACAAAATATTATTTTCCTTCTCTTAATTTTGTGTTGTTTTTTGGTTTCGATGAGGAAGGCTAGTGCATTATGCAAACAACTAAAGTACTTCTTCAATGGTTATGGTTTTCCTAGTACTCAAATTACTCAAACAATCACTCAAGTGCAGTACTCACATCTACTTTCTAAGATTACCGGTTTTCATTGGGTTATAAATGTGTAATATCCACTAATGCATACATTATAAATAAATAAACGCTGCTCGGACTGATAAGTATGATATATTGAAGATAATATTTGGTAATCGTAGTCCTAAATAACTATTAAAAATAGCTAGACGTTTCGAGCAATGGCTCTTTATCGATAGCATAGA